CGTTTCCTGAGGCAAAAGATGACGTTGGCCTGCAGGCTGAACTGGATCTTGAGCCCTGGCAGGAGGCACAGTCCAAGCCTGAGACCCTGAGCATGAGGCTGAGAGTCTTGCACTGCCCCAGCACCCAGAGCCAGAGACCGAGCCCAGGGAGAGGCCATCTCTGCTTCTGGTCTTGTGTGGATGGGTCTCTGCCTCCTCTGTTGCTGGCAAAGAGAAACCCTTCGCCCCTCTCCTGGCCCTCTTATTGGTCACCATACAGTTACAGTCATTGGTCTCAGCCTTTGAGCTTCTGCAGGTGAAAGTTTTGCATATATCTGAAGTTCTTTGTAACGTTTAAGTGTAAAGTTACCTGGTGGCTCTGCTCTGTTATTCTCTGCTCGTTTTTGAGTTGTGTTCAAGGTTATTACATAAGAGTTTATTTAATCACATTGTTTAGCTCACACGCTGAGAAGATAAAGCTGTTAACACGAGGTGACCTTCTGTTTGGAGATTTAAAGCCAACAGCTTTGACACAAACAGCATCAACTGGATGGAAATGAGAACAAGCTGAAATCACAGGTATCACTGCAGGCAGGATGACAAACCTCAAACCGCCTTTCACTTCAAGTTTTCTGCTTTTTTTTGACTCCATTTATGTTGTCTGCTTAAAATTCATGACTCAAAATAAAAGGGCTGCTTGGCTGTGTGGCTTTACCCCACAGCAGATTAAAGAGGCTGCGCTCCCCACTCCCTGATTGTCTGTGATGATGCTTCACAGGCCAGATTTCAGCTGCCAACAGGAGCAACAGACTCTGAGGAGACAGAGCCGTGTGTTCACGGAGAATCAGAGATCAGACTGTGTCTGCCTTTATCAGCCTGATGTGTCCAGCATTCATTTCCTCTGCTCGTCACAGTAAACACAGCAGGTCTGCTTTGTTCCCCGTGAAAGGACACACACACACACACACACACACACACACACACTCACACACACACACTCACACACACACACTCACACACTCACACACACACTCTCTCACACTCACACACACACTCTCTCACACACACTCACACACACACACACACACACACACACACACACACACACTTTCAGTTTCAGCCCAGCACCCTTCCCAGAAAGTCTGGAGCTGCTCAGGAATCAGGGCCGAGTTTCACTTCGAGCTGCTCTCATTTGTTGACCCTGGACCATAAAGTTACTCAGACTGTCGCAGCGCTGTGCTTAAAATGACAACCACAGAGAACTGTGAGCCTGGCCCTTTAAACTCGACCTTTGACCTTCCTGCCTTTGTTTAAAGCTCAGGTATTTTACTTGTAAGGGTTTGTTCGTCCACGCTGAATGTGAGCCTCCCTCTGTGTCACCTCCGTGTTTAACAGCAAACCCAGATCTGTGCGGAATAAACGTCACCGAGCGGAAAATCAGCTGCGTGAGAAACCCGCTGGTCACGTGCCCCGGGAGGCCCGTGCCGCTCACCTTTACGTTGGTGAAGTCGTAGTCGTACTGAGGGTGGAAGAAGTTCTCCGTGTTGATTTCCACAGTGAGCTGGAAGCTCTCGGGAGGCGCGTCCAGGGCCGGGGGCGAGCTGTACATGTCGGCTTCGTCTAAGTCGTGCAGAGACAGCGTCCCCAAGCTGGGGTACTCCAGCTCCTTAAAGCCCTCCTGCTTGTAAAACTCTTTGAGGGCCACGACGTTGACCAGGTCCTGCGGGGTGAACTGGGAGCTTCCGGTTGTCGCTTCGGCTCTGCAGCCCAGGAGCGCGGAGACGGCCTCCAGGCACAGCCTGACGTCCGGCATGCTGCTGCTGAGAGGACGGCGGGACAGCAGGCGGGGTCCTCCGGCTTCACAGGACAAATATCTGCCCCCCTCTGAGGAACCGAGGTCGGAACCGAGCTGAAAAACGCGCAGAGACAGAAGAGAAGCTCGACGCCTGCGTCTCGACAGCTCCCCGAACTTTCGCTTTCACTTACACACAGCCGGGGCGGGGCTTAGCACACAGTTTCACTGAGAGCAAACACACCTGTTTCGTTCTTGGATGGAGGGCGTGTGCACTGAAACTCATCACGAGTTGTTGTGTTGTCACAGTAATAAATAGTTGTCTCTGTCTGCGGTATCATGACAAAAAGTCATTGTTTGCTGTGAGGGCAGCTATAGCGCCCCCTTGTGCTGAGTCTGATTTTGGCACAGTACAAGCCGACTGTGGGGGTCATGCTGGAGGATGAAGACACGCATGGAACTCTGTCACCTCTGCAGGTCACCTGTGGGTGTCAGCAGGGAGTCACATGGTTCGATTTGATGAACCGGAGCCAATCAAGGTGCAGGAGCTGGTCATGTGTGACACGAGTGGAACAGGATAAAATCCCTTCATTGATTCAATGAGTTAACGCTGCTGCTGTCTGTGCTGAGCTCTGATGTGGGCGTACATCACGTTCTGATGTCACTCTGAGTCAGCTTCGTCTCCCTCACCTGTCCCATGTCTCGTTTCCTCTGCAGGTAAACCGTCTGTTTGCTCCTGCTGTAACCCACGGAGACGGGACGACGATCACCGGGTCACAGAGGTCAGTGGAAGGTCACGAACAGTCACACGAACAATCTTTAAAAATCATGTTTCCTCCTTTACGAGCAAATAATTAAAGTGAGTGAATCTCTCTGTGTGAGTTTCAAACATGTTCTGTTTTATTACTGCTTCTAAAACAAGCTCCTCATGCAGCACAGCACTGTGCAAAAGTCTTGAACCAACCCTCATTTCTTTGTTTTGCCAGTAAAACCTGAAAAGGTGCTTTCACTGAAACATGAACATAAATATTTGGCAGCTTTTATCTTCAGCACAGCTGAACGCTGGGATTCAGAGGATTCACAGGCCTGTGCTGAGCACGACGCAGTGCAGGGAAGCCAGATGTAGAGACCTCACACATGAACTTGCAGCATGATGACCTGCAGTTTAATCAGATTTTTTACTCGTTGTGTCTCTGCAGGAAGAGTCTTTGCATTATTCCAGCCTGAAGCATCCAGACAAGCCCCGCCCCACCACCAGGAGAGGAACCGGATTGGCTGAAGAGAAGGTCCTGTACTCAACAGTGAACATGTGCAAGAAGGCATCACATGACCACAGATAGAAGCACTTTGATTGAGCGTAAATGAATTTTTTAAATTAATAAAACTGTGAAAATATGTGATTAGATTTCAAAATCTAGATTTTAGTTTATTTGTTTGTGTAAACAGATAAGATTTATTTTTCAGTGAGCAGAAAAACTCAGTGTTTAAGAACCTTTAAATGTTAAATATCCAGAAAGTTGCAATGAAAGTAAAACGTTTGTAAAACATTTCTGTTAATAATAAAGTAACAGCCATGAATGTAAATCTGCCACAGCAGCGCACTTTCAAAAAATAATTACTAAACTAAAGAAAATCCTTTTTTACCCACATGTGTGTGAATAGTTCCCTCGGGTCAGTTTGGAATCTGTCTGTGTTTAAACATGTGTCTGAATATTGCTGCTGTAAATATGTTTGCTGTGCTGCTTCCATGAACAGATTCCACACTTTGTCTGTTACTAATAAACTGATTCTGACACCACGATCTGTCCTGATGGCCGCCGGTCCAGATGTGACGCTCCACATGTGGACGCCTGTAAACGAGTCCTCGCTGTAACATGTAAAGACTCAGTGAGAGCAGCTGTGCTGCTGAAGCAGAGAGTGAAACATGAAACCAAACTGACTGACAGGATTTTAACAGCTTGTGTTGCAGGTGAAACTAAGCTTCCCGTCACACGACCGTACTTTCAGACTTTCAGAGTTTGTGCTCAGCTCTCGCTGCAGGTCTGCTGATGACAGAGGAGTAGATGACGCTGTGGTGGCTCTGCTCCGGCGGACTCCTGCTGGGTCTCTCTCTCCAGTTCTGTCGGCCCAGAGAGGCGTAGTGGATCGTCTCCCCACAGAGGGGCGGGGTCTCTAAGTCCTCACCCTCTGCAGACAGACACACCGTTTTAATCCCTCGTAGACTGACGTGAGGACATCGAACACCTGGTGAGGTTACCTGTCGGTGCGCTGGACGTCATCCATGGCTGCAGCTCTGTGTCTTCACGTGTCGGTGCTGCTGCATGGAGAGATGAAGAGCGCAGCATCATCAGAAAACACGCTGACTCTAATACTGGATTCTGTTACCATAGCAACATCCATATTTTTGCATGTGCGGATTCATGTTTTAGAGACAAAGTTTTGTTTATCTGAAGCTGCAAAAAAGAATCAGTCAGCTCTCTCGTCAATAAAATCCTTTTAAACATAAATGAATCAGCCAACACGCTTCAGACTGCATGAAATTTAAACATCACTGAATAATGAATAATAATTAAATACTGATAATGATGCATGAAAAAAGTTCAGTATGAAAAACTGAAGCAGTGAAGGTGAATCATCTGAAGATGTCAAATATAAATATTCTACATAAATGAATGAATTCATTAAAAAACCTTTGATGATAAAAATTTTCTCATGTCCCCAAAATCATAGTTTCTTCTTTTTCAATCACATTTAAAATCATTTACTCTTTCACTGAATTCACTCGCACTCTGTGTAATCCCAGTCTGTGCCAGAAGGTGGCGCAGCGTGTCACAGTCTCAGGCAGGGTTGCTTCTAGCAGCATCCGTCTGCACGCACCCTGACAAACCCAGGAACTTAAAGCCAAACGTTTCCAGTTAAAATGAAGTGAAAGCCAAACGTTCACCTGCAGCTCTGCGTTTCCTCCTCCTGCACTTCATGCTGGTCAGCAACACACAGACAGCAGCTAAGAAGATGACCATCAACCCCACGCTGACGACAGCAACCAGCAGCAGAACTGAGAGCGCACACAACATCTGGTCCATGAACACGCGACACATCTGGCAGAAAACTACAAACGCGGTTTATACCCGGACTGACCGTTCTCAGGTCTCGTGTTGCTCTTCTTCTTTATTTCTCCCACTTCTAATAAACAGAGCGAGAGGACGCACACACCCACACTGGTCGCACACTCACAACGTTTAAATGTCAAAGGTCATGTGAAAGTTTGCATCCAAATAATCACAATGAATAAAACAAAGACATCTCATTTGAGGATTAAGATTGTGGTCAATTATATTTCGCACAACTAAATAAAGACAACATTTGCACGCACAGACAGATTTAAGGAAGTATGACGTAGATCCATTTATAGCGCAGCACACGGGCAGGTTTGGTAAATCCATGTAAGGTATGATTGCAGCACTGTTTCATAGCTGTTACGTGTTGAGTGTGGATGTATGATGATGTGTGTGGTGTTACCGGCTGTCACCACTGCAGGTGATGGAGGTGTGCTGGTGGACGGAGGCTGGCTGCTCGTCTCTGCGTGTGCTGGGAATGCAAACAGTTTCTATGTTTAAATCCTGGTTCACACAAACATGAATACAAAGCTCATGAAACAACCTGTAAATACACAAAACATGAACACGTGTAAACTACAGACAACGTGAAAGCAGCAGGTGAGTCCAGGCTGGACCGACCCACCTGCGAGGACCGTGACTCTGGCCTGCAGCAGCCCGTTGCAGACGTACTCTCCAGCGTCCTCTGGCTGCAGGTCCTGGATCTGCAGGGCGTCGTTGGTGAAGCTCAGCCGGCCGCCGCCCCTTTCTGGTTTCACCGTACCGTTTCTGTACTTGGTGAGGACGGCCTCCCGCCTCTCGCCCTCCCTCTGCTGGAACCACCTCTGTTTGAGTTTGGAGGAGCCGCTGCAGGGGAGCAGCAGCGTCCGGCCCGCGGACACCGTGTAGTCCCGACCTGAGGAGAAGACGCAGAGACATTCGTGCTGTCACTGCTGACCTTCTGTACTTGAGTGGCTGTGATATTGACAGGCGGCCGTAGGGACAGGGGATTGGGCAGCGCATCTGTAGGTCGCCGGTTCGATCCCCAGGATCACAACCTGGTCGTTGTGTCCTTCGGCAAGACACTTACCCTACCGCCTACTGGTGTTGGCTTCTGTCAGTCTGCCAGGGCAGCTGTGGCTACAACCGTAGCTGCCTCCACCAGTGTGTGAATGAATAGTAAAGCGCTATATATATAAATGCAATCCATCATTATATAGTTCACGGCTTCTTGTTGGATCTGTGCTTCCTGTGTCGACTTTATTCTGCAGTGACGTTGTCGTGGTGCTGTGGTGCTTTCTGTGTGAGGTGCAGGTTTTTGTTGGAGAGGGCGCTGCTGTGGCGTCTGCTGGTTGCAGCCTCTGCAAACTAAAGCGGACTCGTCCCCCTCCCTGCAGCTGTGCTCATGCTGGAGGTGTTGAGCTCACAGACCTGAGGATGAGCAGCGCAGCTCCTCACACACGCCATGGCGTGTGAATGCTTCACACGCCATGGCGTGTGAATGCTTCACCGCAGAGTTGCTAAAGCTCGTGGTCAGTCACCGATTGTAGCATGCAATCACACGCAAACAGACTCAGTGACCTATTAAAAGATGGTGTGATAATGATGAGCTGCTCTGCAGAGATAAGCCGGCTGTTTCTGCTCGCTCAGTTTCATATTTAGGCCACACGTTTCCTGTTTTTATCGTTTCCACTTTAATATCCAGTCATCTTTCTGGAGGCGTGTGTGTGACAAATTTAAACAGTGGAAATGTTTCTTTTCACATCACTCCCACTCTGTGCCTCCGTGCCATCCACTTCTCTTTTACATAGAAAACTGATCATTTCGACACGTCCTTCTTCAAACCGCTCGCTTCCTTTGAGCCTCTGTGTGGTTTTAATGTGCCTGCATCAGTGTGAGGGCACTTCATGCTGTCATCGATTCTTCAGCCTGAAGAGTTGGTGACTGTGAGAGTGCAGACGTTAGGTTTCATACTCAGTTCCTTACTTTGGAGAAGCTGCGTCAGCGATAAGCAGACATCTCTGCACTGCAGAGCTGATGAAGAAGTGAGCGCTCAGTTCACAGGAGTGTTTGCCACACTGCCTGCTGTGTGTCTCTGACAGCACAGAGTCATTGGCTCCCAGCCGGCTGCTACTCCAGCGGGAACAAGTACAAATACTTTGCTACTGTACGAGTAGTTTTCAGGTTCCTGTGTTTGACTCGAGTAGTTTCTTTTATACTTTTAACTTTTATTCGCTACATGTTGAAACAAATATCGGTACTTTCTGCTCCTTACATTTGAAAACAGGCTCGTTACGTTTGATTGGACGGTTTTGAGGTGATTTATTATTTTGTCGCTGCGAGGCTTCAAACATCAAACTGATTTGAACCTGATCAGGATCACATGAGAGGAAACTCAGTTCGATTATTAATGACCAGGAGATAACAGCGTGCGGCAGAGCCAGGGCGGCCAGGCTGTCGTAAAGCTTTTCCCTGTTCCTCGTCTTTCCCTGCATTTATTATTTGTTTCCCACCCCCAACCCACCCACCCTGGTGGCTCCACCCCCAGCATACCTGTCAGCACCTGCAGCTCAGCCACCAGCTGCTGGTTACAGCGGTATCTTCCATGATCCGACTCCTTCAGATGCCAGACGCAGAGGTCGCCATTAACCATGAGGCGGTAGCGCCGGCGGTCCTTGTTGGTCTTGTAGCCGCCCCGTCGGGTCACCAGGACCTCCTGATCCTGCCGAGTCCAGATCACGTCTGAGCTGCCAGAGCTGCCGCACGGCAGACAGACGTGGTGATTCTCAGGGACCGAAAACCAGATCGCTGCTGGGGCAGAGGACGGGGTCACACATCTGAAACTGTCGAACTCAAGCAGTACAAATGTGCTTTAAATACAGCTGCAGGTCCTCTAACGTGGCCGAACCAATACAGCACACAGGTGAGCTCACCTGGTTAAGCTGCATTAAGGCTTAACATGGTTTACTGTGAGGTTAATAACACACTTTCTCATAGAGGCCGTTTGCTTTGGTAACTTCTGCCTGAAAGATGTGAAGATGACGACGCCCACGACACTTTAAACGTCAAACGTAAAAACAGGGCAAAGGCTCAACTGTTGTGGTGGTCATCTTTTATATACAGTCTCGTGCAGGTTCTCCTTTAGTGATCCGTCTCCTATATTTAGATGATGTGAGGAAGCTGTGTGACACTCACACCCTGCTGATGCTCCGGCTTCAGTGTGTTTCCTCTTTTATCTCATGGAAACGTCTGTGTCTAAATTTACAACGCTGCAAAATGTTTGCTGGACAGCGTTTTGTCGAGCAGGGCGGTGAACGATGTCGTGTGTCAGAGGAAATCTACACGCACTGACTGTAAACATGCATAAAGAACTGTGGATTTATGACGTTTTCATCTTTAACTTATTTTGCACCAATAAAGAAATAATCATCTTCCGATGGACTCTTTCATAACAGCATGTGAGTCATTTCAGTCCATCAAAATGTTTTTATGGGAATTTGACACAAAAAGATGTTTTTCTAGAACATGTTTGATTACATCAAGTTTGCAAAAATGGAAACAACAACTGTACAAAAGTAAACTGAGGCGTGCACCGTCCAACTTTAACCCAACAAAGGAAACCCATAAATAAGAACAGCTGTATTATTGTTTCCTCGCGGTTCCCCGACCACAGCGTTCCCTGAAAGAGGACAGAACAACGGGAGGTTTTTGTACCTGTGGAGTTTCCCGTGCAGCCGATCAGACCTGAGAGCAGGAACCAAACGTGACAGGAGAACATGTTCAGGAACAAACGTGGAGCTGCAGAGCTGCCGACGCGCCTCGAGCCTGTCTGTCCCTGCACCGCTCTTCCTCTCCTTCCTCGTCCTCAGTGACTCAGGGAGCGTCAGCGGCCTGGAAAATAAAGAGGCGTGCTCCCGCTGCAGGTCTGCTGTGTCGCATGGATCTGATGAGCAGCTGGAAGCTCTCGGATGAAGGACTAGCTGAGATTTTAACCTTTGTTCCTCTGAATGTTTGTGTGAAAGTCAAACAAAAGGTAAACATGATGACATCATGCTCGCAGCAGGAGGCGTGGAAGGTTTGATCCTGAGGATTTCCTGCAATTAGAGAAAAGTCACATGATGAAGGTTAGAAAACACCTGTGACGTTATCATCACCTGCAGAGTGGAATCACTTTAAAACATCACAGACTCGGACTAATGCAGGGAAACATCCCCCTCAGGCTCGCTGTCGGTGCAGCTTGATCACACGGTAAACACACGTGTTGGCTCGAGGCGCTGCAGCAGACACGTGAATATTTCATTATATCCTCAAATATCTCTCAGGCTTTACCAGGTGTGTTTCCCAGAGCTGGAGGATGATCGATGAGCGAGTCCTGATGAGGTCCACCTTTAGGGAAAAACAAGCTTTTGTTCACTCAACAGTTTTGTCTTTTTCTTTTTTCCATGGAAACGTGAGAAAAATACTGGAAAAGTCTGAATTTCATTGACTCAACTTTAGGCTCAGTGTGACACACATGGAGATAAATAACTTCACAGAGGTTCACACTGTAACGTTTTCTGGGTAATTTCCTTCCTTTAACGTAAGATGACAGAAAAAATGACACTGAGGTCACTTGTCCCCTGTGAGGACACCTGCCTCAAAGCTCCCATCATCTTAAACTGGTTTCCTGAGCTCGCTGCACTCAGACCTGCAGCACTTTAAAGTGTGTCTCATCACACAGAGACGTGAAGCTTCAGTCTTCAGCGTCTCTCAGCACAAACACTTTCACTGATCAACGATCAGCGATGAAGGATCAGCAGGGTTTCTGTGACAAACTGAACTGTTTTCTAATTCGTCTCCTTCGTTCACCTTTTCTTTTATTTCTACATCTCCACGTGATGAAGACGAGGGGGACGACAGCACTCAGAACCAGCTGCTGCTCAGAATGAGCCCCTGGAAGAAGACACAGTAACGCAGCTCAGATCAACGTGACGCACCTGAAAGCACCAAAGAACCAGGAGCTCTGCTCAGACTCAGCCACAGCTCAGCTTGTTTCTGATGCACCTGATACCTTTAAAGCCGGTCGGAGCGGCACGCTCCGTTTTGCGTAACTATTTTTAAATCCCGGTAGCTCTGCAACCACGTAAGCTAGCGCAATAATTTTTTTTGCATATGAAACCGGAGGAGTTGTACTTACATCTGATGCCATCAGCTTGTCCTCGGTCACAGTTTCCTTCCACATATAGCTTTGCAAAAACTGCATAAAAAGCACTTGCAGCAACAAAAACATAATATTCCAGAAACACGCTTTGCCGATCCGATCAGCTGTTTGTAACACTTCCTACGTCCATCAGCGCGAACTATCGCATGTCCGCCATGACCTGCCCGAAACCGGAAGTGACGTCATTTTGCGGAAATGTAGTTTTTTACCATCAGGGCCTTATGAGCCTATACTGGTGTTTTTAAAAGTTATGTTTGACTTTATGACTTTCTGTGTCGTTTCTGGGATGCTTAGGACTCATATTGCACTGCTGGAAATAGTTTATTTTGATGCATATGCTGCTTTTTTGCAAATTTGCACTATAATATTTATTTTCGTTTTTCCTGCAGTGTATAAAAATTGGTGTATTTCAAAAATAAAACTATGAAGACACTCAAAATAAATTTCCTGTGGTGGGAAACTAGTTTGTGCAACTTTTTTGTATTTACAGTTTTGAGGGATAAGCCTCTTAAATTTCTCTAACTAGAAATATATGTTAAAAAAACAAAAACGATTTTCAATTTTTTTGTAGTTTATTGCACTTTTTTGCAATTTATGTAATTACTATGCACTTAATGCAGACATATTATTAAAATTTGGGCTATAATGGTTGTATTGATGTATAGCAACTTGAAATGCTCCCAAAAATGGCTCCACAGCATGTAAAAATATAATATAAGCTCTGACGGACTTGGTTCTATTATTCTATTATTAAAGAATAAACATGCTTTCATTTACATCTGCTGGTTTCAAAGAAGGAGACAAAACAATGAAACTTGATTCATATTTTGGCAACTTTTTCAAATAAGGTGTCGTTGTTAGAGACATTAAAGACTCAGCCAATCATGTTTGCTCTGTAAAGCAGCCACAGCACCTTTCTGCGACGTGTCAGTCGGGTCTTTGGTCACATCCAGATTAACTGCTGCTCCGCCAGCACAGGAGTACAGTCCAGAGTCGCTGAGCTGAACGTCTCTTAAAGTCAGCGTGTTCTCGCCGGGTGAACACTGAGCGTGCTCCTCCGTCTCGCTGTGACCGAAGACGGTCGTGGCGTCTGCACCGATCCGCCTCGTCTAAGTCGGAGACTCGGACACGTCTGCAGGACATTCCAGAGAGACGCCGCTCAGGGTTGTAGTTCCTGTACATGAATGCAGTGTTTCACCATCATCAGCTCAGGGCTGAGTGTCTGTCGCAGTCAGCATGGAGGTGGTTTGGGATCAAATCTCCATCACAGAGTGAATATGTTCATGTTTTGGCTGCTCACATAGATTTTTACAGCAGTCAGCAAACTGCATGTGCAGCAGAGTCCCACACGTGAAACCAACAGTACAGATCTGTTCTTCTACGTGAAGCCTCCTCATCAAAACGATCCTGTGCATCGTATCTGCTTCTCAGCCTGAGCCTCTCGTTTGTTTGACACAAAGAAACTGTGAGCAACAATGTTCAGAGCTCATGTATGCAAACTGATGTTGATGTGAATTACTCAGAAAGTTCAATAAACTCCAAGATCTTCACATTAGTCACGTTTTTAACAGATGGTCTCACAGAGGAAATCTGAGCTTTACAAACAAGCATCGAATACCAACGATGCAATAATCAGCCTGCTGAAACTTCCTGATTGTTTCCACTTTACATGGATTTATCAGGGTTATTCGTCAGACTCGACTGTAAATCTAAATTATACTTTTACATGAAACTTTTAATGTGGAAACCAGATAAAGACAGATGTTACCTGATGGATCGCTGTCAGCTCCACAGCTGCTTCATGGCTACAGAAGTATCTGCCAGAGTCTGAGGGAGCAGCTCTGAGGACGATCAGAGACCCGTCAGCCTGTGGATCGTTGATGTGTCTCCGTCTCCATCAGCTGTAAGTACGTCAGCTCTGCTTCCTCCACTCTCTCTGCTTCACCTCACTCCACCCTCCACAGTGAGGACAGCGCACAGCGATGAGCTGCTTCTCTTCAGGGATTTTATGGATGAAATCTGTGGAACGATGAAATAAACGTCTGTTACCATGGATACATTATAGTGTGGTGTTTGCTGACAGGTGAGATGAAGTCAGGAAACACGAGTCTCCTTACCTGCAGCGACGTTAGAGCCCAGAGCAGCGGCTGCTAACAGGCAGCAGCACACGTCCAGCTTCATCCTGACTGCAGTCATCAGCTCACATTAGCACTCTGTGGGCTCACAGCATGTTTCTCATCAGCTCAGCGTGCTCGTCGCTCAGTGCTGATAAATGTCAGAAACACGTACACGTGACACGTGTTTGCTGCGCTCACTGTCTGTTTGGATGATTATAAACAGATGAAGTCCTGAGGTCGCAATTCTGAATCTTACAGCTACAAACCTCCACGCTGTCACCTCCACGGCGTGGAGGATGTAACATGGAACACAGGCGAGGAACATTAACTAAACCTAAAGACTAAGAAATAAGTAAGGGAGCTGGAAGAGACGAGAGCAGCAGAAGCGCTGAATCAGAGTAACATAGCTTGTGTGTTTGTCCAGGTTCATTCATGTGTTATTAACAGACCGATGACGGCGACACAGGAAGGAAGCTGAGCAGCTGATGGGCCGTCTGCGCTTTCAACAGCTGAAGCTGTGAAGCTCAGCGGACACGTCTGCACACAAACACGAGTCAAACACAAAGTCAACACAAATCTACTGTTTTCCAAGTTCACTTGATCTAAATGTGAATATTATCAGTGTTTTAAATGTGACTGCAGCAGACGTGTGACATGTTTCGTCATTAATACCAAAACGGTTTAAATCAAAGCTTTTATTCACGTGTTCATGAAGTGAATCAACTGCACTCAGAAACTTTCTCAGGCCAACATTTCTTATCTTACAAGCTTTTGTCTTTATAATCATGTCTGTAAAGGATTTTTATCACTTTGACCTTCAGATCAATCTACTGACTGGAGGAAAGGTCAGAGGTCAAACACACACACTACAGCACACTGTAAGAATCAAAGCTTTTAGTTTCTTGTCAATTTTCCACCGATGAATCATGAACCTCGAACACGGCGATGGACGGAGGACAGATTTCAGGCTCCACCCCCCACCGCAGCCACCCTGAGCTGGATGAGTGGGTGGGTGTGACCATGAGCTCTGCACCTCAGCACAGTTGGGTCAGAATTTATTTAAGCTTTTTAGCGTAAGTGTTTAAAGACAGACACACTAACAAAAGCCTCCTGGGTCGATTTCATCAGCTGCAGTTTCACAATAATTCAGAATCATCTCGACATATGCATGTTACATGTTCCCATGAACATCTGTGCTGAGGCAGACTGTTCCTGACAGCAGGACATTCAGGTGAAGCTACACCGGTCCGGCCTGCTTCTGGATGCTTTGGGTTTCTCCAGTAAGACATACGTGTTGTTGGCGGGCTGTGAAGAACCTGTGGATCATAAACATCATCAGTCTGAGTGGGTTGTGTGTAACAAACACAGCTGTGCAGGTTTGGCGTGTTCACCATGAGTTTGTGTAAAATGAGGTGCTGATCGTTAAAATGAGTGGCAGCTCAGGTGTTACCGGTCGTGTTTCCAGTCTGTGGCAGCTCAGCGATGGTGTCGTATGTGGCATCACTGTGGTCTGATCCTCCTGTCAACAACAAGTCTCAGTAAGAGTTTGGCAGACATCACTCTCCTGCTTTACTGTTGATGAGGTTCAGAATTTGAAAGTTATCCAAATGGACCGATTCGTATGCAGCACTTTGGGGATCAAACCACCGACCTCCCAATCAGCAGAGGACCTGCTCTGCCGCCTGAGCTACAGCCAACCCAAACATCCAAACTTCAATCGGCTTAATTACAGAATGAACTAGAAGACGACGATAGAGTAAAAATAATATGAAACACAGCTACAAGATTTCAGTGCAGTTTTCAGTTTAAAATATTATCTACATAACATCTAATGATGGAAACAACAGGAGGGGAAATAATTTAAGTGGCTGCTCCATCAGGCAGTGTGCAGGTCGTAGGCGAGCTCCTGAGAACAAACACTGGATTCATTCAGACTATCAAACTACAAGCAGCTCCGATGATGAGCCTCAGTCACAGCTGCTTCACTCTCACCATTTATAGGATGAAGTTCTGCTCCAGCTGGTATCTCATCATAGACGTGGAGCTGTTTGTCAGTCCCTGCAGACAGATCAGAGTCAGCTCCTGCTTTAAAGTTTAAAACACGCTGCCTGTGATGACGTCCAGCTGTGATCATGAAAGTGAAGCTAAACTGGACTGTGGCTGCTTAGGAAGCTTTTGCTGTTAAACTGAGTTTAGGAAATACTGACCGCTGACCTTTCACCTCACATACTTACAGTGACCAACCTGCTCTCACCTCGAAGGTGTCAGAACACAGGCTGGTCTGTTTGCACCAGAATAAAGTCCACAGGATGTAAAATCAACAGTGAGGCAGAATAAAATCATTTTAGGTTTGGAGTTAACAGTAATATTATATAAGTGCTGTGTACTCATTTAAAATGAAAGATTAAAGATTCATTTGTAGAAAAGAAACTGTAACCTTTGAACTTGTGTTAGCTTTATTAACAGCATACGCTAATTTATTTTATTTTATTACTTTATTCACATCTTCACTCACCGAATGGAATCTGTGCATGGAAGTGAACACGCAGTAGTAAAACACAGCTAACTGAACTGCATTAGCTCAGGTGGCTAATGTGTTAGCATGATGTGTTAGCATGATGTGTTAGCATGACTTGTTATTATGATGTGTTAGCATGATGTGTTAGCATGACGTGTTAGCGTGATGTGTTAGCATGACGTGTTATTATGATGTGTTAGCATGATGTGTTAGCATGACGTGTTAATATGATGTGTTAGCATGATGTGTTAGCATGATGTGTTA